GATTTATAGCCTCGCATACAACTGAAGAGTATGGTCCTAGGATTTCAGTCTTAAAACCGTACATTCAAGCATCGTTTCGGACAATAATGCTGAAACTGATTAAGAAAACAGACACATACACATACAGACATGATTTTACTCCAATGAGTTTAATGTGCACAAATGATTCATGCAAAAATGCATGAAAAATATGTAGAAATTCAGAGCAGTTCACGGACATAATGGCACAAAAATGATTTTAAGCTAAAACTAACGGTGCCAGCAGTGTCCAGAATTTCGAGCATGCACTGCTGGCCGTCAACTTCCACTTGCTTCCGGTAGCTATCCTCAATTGTCGGGTCGTACTTCTCAACAAATATGCCCTGCACAAACTGCACCGTCTGTAAAAAACTTCAGTAAGTGTGATGGAATACTGTAAGACGAATATCAGTGCATGATTTGATGGCTGATAAGTACTGGCTTGTACAAAACAGACCAAAGCGCTTTTTCCAACGCCTCCACTTCCAAGCACAACAATTTTATATTCACGCATCGTTTCGGACAATATTTTCGCGCCTAAAATTCAATAAAAACATTCAGACTGGAGAAACTAAGAACGAGAACAGAGAGTGAGCACGTAAGATTCGAGCAGGTGCTGTGCCAGAGCGTTTCGAAACATAATTTGCATAAAATGAATTTTCAAAAAGCATAAATCAAAGAGTATCGAAATAAGCTAAAAAGCAGTTATCTCTTTTGGAATCAAAAAGCCGTGCACATCAGGCGAGCAAATGCATTTTTGCGACTGGCTGCTGCGGAGGCGCAGTGTGAGAATGAAGAATGTAAGCAAAGAGGCGAATGCAATGCGTCATGATGATGGCCTTCCATCGCATTCATAGCAGCCAAATCTTCGAATTCATCGTGGCCCGGTCTGCCCTACCCCAAACGTGCTCTTCCCGAGATGACTCAGTAAAGCGTGAGAACCTACGCCACCCATGCTGAGTCGAATCCTCGAAGTCTTAAGTCGGATACGCGTTCGTACCGACACCACTCTGCCATAGGCAAGCAAACAGCGAAATTCAATGAACCACACAAGCTTCAATTTCTGATGGCCGAGAAGCAAAATAGGGGCCGGAAGAAAGATTGTCAAAAAACATGGCAGTTTAGAGATAGAAAATGCAAACA